TAACAAATTGAGCTCTTTAAAATATTTTGAAAACAATTGTTTTTTCTTATAAATTATATGGCATTTTTCGCTGGAAAAGTATTTCGTTAAGCTCTTAATTATGAGAAGTAATTGAAAAAATTTTTCTAACATAAGCAATGCATTAAACTATTAGCAAAAAGTTAGCGAGTAGTTTTGCTCGTAGAGTACGATAACTCATACCTTACGTGTCTACATGGTGCTTCCATAGAGAAAATCTCGGTGAACTCTTTATCTCTTAAAGCGGACAACAAAGCGCTAGTATTGGCCTATTACGTTTTTTCTTACCGTCTCTGTATGGATATACACAGGGTCTTTGCGATTTGCATGGTGGGTCTGAACGTCTACCGTGTACTCGTGCATCATGTGAAATAACTTCGAGGAAAAGTAATCTCTCTTTATTTTAGGGCTCCGGAAAGTATATTTTTTTTTTTCTTCCGCCGGAGGTTTGTGTTTTAGAGAATTCGTTGTTTTCTCCTTGGGGCTTTGTTTGTGTAATTTACCGGGTAAACAGCTTTTAAGATGTTTAGTCTACTTGTTGTTATTATTACTTCCAGTTAACTTTGAGGTATGGTTTTTTTTTTTTCCAAAAATGTGGTACATAATTTTTACTGAAATATTTTAAATTTAATATTATTCCTGGGTTCTAGTATGTGATTAATTAATAAATGAAGTACCGATCTCACGTGTAATGAATAAAACAAAAATTTCTAAATTTTAATAAAAATATACGTGTATCTAACTAGTTTGAAGGCCGCTAGTATTTTTAAAATTACAGAAGCCATTCTGCATTGACTAAAGTATGTTGCCAATCAAATTTAAAAATTCTCATGGTAATATGTGTGATTAAATATTTCAATTTATTAATCACGTAATGGAAAGTTAAATTTTAGAAAGTATTTCAACTACCCATTAACTTGGTTGGGAACTTGAAACTGGATAATTTTTAACAATAAATTTAAAACCATAGAAATTTGTAGAAAAAAAAAACAAAACAAAAAACGAATAAATAATACATTACTTAATGGATAATGAAAAACTGTTTTTTATTTTTTTATTTAAAAACTACTTGCGTACAACATTTAATTATACCTAAATGAATAAGTGTTTTAATGGGTATAAATTAACTATTAAAAGAGAACAAATAGCAGTATTTGATATTGAAAACAATTTAATTTAATTTTATGAGTAAAAGTATAAACTACTCACTGCATCTAGATGGTTTTAATATAAGTAATAAAGTCTCTCAAGTTAAAAGCTACAGGGTAATAGTAGTGGGCGAATAATTTTCATTTAATTATAAACTGAAAATGTAATGGCCTCATGCGTCTTAAACTAGTAGTAGAATATATTCTTAACTTTCCCCTACAAGTGAAGTTAAACTATAATACACATTAAATTAGGGTCGTTATTCGAGGGTAAAAAAATCCTAAAGTACTATGAAGCAACTCGAACCAAACCTACTCGTTTAGCATATTTTCTTACTTACTAGGTATTAAAAGAAAATACAGTCAGTCATCGTATTATAAATAATGTCAATCGATTCATGAAACGATATCACTTAATTTACAAACAATGTGCTGTACTCTGGCCTTATGAAAAAATGAGGATGGAAACAATTTAAAAAAACGTCAGACCGAGCACCTTGGCAAAAAAATAAAAAAAAAAAAAAAAAACACAACACTAACCTTGACTCTCTCTCTTGCCTCCTCGGGCGGCAGATTAGCGATGCTGCCCATCTGTTCCTCAACATAAGCCTTCACCACTGCGCTCGAGTCGCAGTACTCCTGCCAAAGCTGAACCGCGTGCTGGTACTTGGTGCACAGGGCATCGAGCTCGGCCTTTGTTTCGTCCCAGGCGTGCACGGCCTCGTTGACCACGGCGTTGACGCGTTCGCTCACCTCGGCGGTGCAGCTCGAACGTAGCGGCTCGGCCACAGCCTTCAGCTCGCTTATCAGCACCTCACGGCTCACAAAGTCGCCGTTCAGACCCTATTTAAGTTTTCAGGTGTTATTGTTTGCCGTATCATCTTTTTTTTTTTTTTTTTTTTAGTTTATTACTGTTCCAGTAATATCAAAGTGTATGTTGAATGTCAAAAGTGGAGTCTTAGATTTTTAATTGAAATGCGAGTTGAATGTAATTAGGATCCGTACTTTGGTATAATCATGAATTCGATTTATTATGTTAGGCTCTAGAGCCAAATTTTTTTTTAACACTTTTATAGAGTTTTATACGGTTGAAGTTTATATTTTTCCAAAACTGAATTAGGTAGTGCAAATCATTAAATTAACCGTTTTACTAATTTTGTTGTATCTGTTGTAAGATTTTCATCTCCTGTTTGAATAGTTTATGTAGTAAATCGGTTCAGACTTTAGGTGTTAATTTTTTTTTCAAACATTGCGTTGACAAATTTTTTTTATTAAAAAAAAACAACCAATAAAGAAAAACTGTTCAATGTTATTTTAAAAAGTATTTAGTTTTTTTATGTAGTGTGCAAAATAAAAAATACTACATTTCAGTGTTGTGTGTTCTAGTTGGTAAAGACAAAAATTTCTCGTTAAAATAATTCATTCAATTTTCGCAGCTTGTTCGCATTAAAATTTGGTTTTTGCCGTTGGTCAATCGCGTCCGAAAAATTTTGCCGTAAAGTTCGAAGCAAAATTCCTAGATCGGATTCGATAGCGTGTATAAATAGTTTCGCTCCCTGTAACGTGTGACTACCGTACGGCCTCACCACACACGAGCACACGCGCTTCGCTCGCAAGTGGACCGATTTTCGTGCGCGTCGCACTCCCTCGTGGGGGTTCGTTAACCCGTGCGACCAAATTTACCGCTCATCTATTTTATAACAATGAATATTGCGCCACCAACTCGACCGACTGACACGTAATACGTGCAAGGTCGCTTATTTATTTATTTATTTATTTTTAAGGCTTGTTGCTTGAGCTGTTTGGTTTTTTCGGCATATTGCTGCATAGGACTACCGGTGATCTGAGGGGTTATTTTTATTCATCCTTTTTTTTTTTTTTTTTTTTTAAGCTGATTAATATTTTTTATTAAAACAGTATAAAAATTATGAATAAAAGAACTTTGAACAAACAATTTGTATACATATTTTCTTACATTAATTATTTCTGATTAATATGTTATAAGTTGATTGTTTATTGCCATTCGTATCGTGGAATATTTTACCCGTATTTTAATGTTTTGGCCAAAGTCTTTTTCGAATTATGTTGTGTACCCAAGTATGTTGTTACACCCACTAAGCTGATCTAATAAAAGTGAAGAAGTGACGTTTTGTCAGAGAGTACATTTGAGTGATAGTGTCAATTAAGTGTTCAACGAATCAAATTAAGATAACATTTTGTAGAAATAATTGAATACATTTCGCGATTCTTAATACTGTTAAAATATTAATCTTCTACGATCGGACGATTAAAAAAGTCTTGTAATTATAGTTTTATTCGAAAAAAATACAAAATTATTGATTAAATTATTACAAGTATGATGTCAGACAGTCAATGATAATAAAAACTATACATAGATATTTTGCTAATATTTAGCTTCTTTGTTGTAACGTTTAGGGAGCATAATTAATGAAAAGTCTAAACGTCTAATAATACTGTACTATGTTGATGAAACGTAAATTGACGATTTAATTTCATTCAGTGTCTAAAGGATTGCACGTCTTATAAGTTAAAAAGGAATTTTGGATAAAAAGTCCCTTGCAGTTATAATAATTATGAAATAGGAAATTTTTTTTGCAAAAATTAGGGCACAAATTATTGATCACAAGTTTACAACTGAAGCCCGCAAGTCTACACACATCAAGATTTGAAAAATTGAAATAAGGGAAACTGAAACCACAAAAGAACTTTTGTCCTACATCACAATATACGTACAACACACGAGATTAATGAAGTCGCGTGTGTCTGACATGCGCGTCATCGCGTATAAGCACCGCATGCTTATCCACGTGCAACCGACACCGTTCCTCGTTGTATACATGAACACTTTCGCAAAAAATTGCACGTCCATCACGTGGTTATTAAAAAAAATAATTAATAAAGTTTTTCCCGTACTGCTGAAAAATTTATCATTTCACTCTAAAAAGTTGACGTGACACACTTTTTTTTTAAACTTTTTTAGAATTGAGGAAACATATTGTTTCAGAAATTGTGAAAAGTTGATTCTTCGCTCAATTGTTGGATGAAAATAAATAAAATATTGCTATGGAGTTTTATTGGTCAAAATGGAGATTATATTTAAGTATCATCGACAAAATTTAGTTGACGTGTTTTGATTTAATTTTTTTTTAAGTTTTTCCAACTGGTTGATCAGATCTAAAGTTAATAAAAAATACAGTTTTACTTTAAAAACGATGGGTAATTAAAGAAAAATGTTTTTTAATAAAGTCTTCATAAACGTACAAAAAATTTATGTTAAATATTGTTTTCAGTTTAAGTTTTTATAAGCGTACAAAAATCTCATATTTTAAAACTTTAAATAAGCATTAAAATTTTCGAGTCGAAAAGTGATTTTTCTTTATTTTTTAAACTTTGTTTCCTACTCTCGAAACACTAAAAAAAAAGGGAGTCTCACTTTTTGGGGGTAACCATGCTTTTTTCCACACATTACACTCAGTAGTACGAGAAAATAAGATAAAATAAAAACTTAATTTCAATTTTTTTTTTTTTGAATCACAAATTGAATAATTTTTTTGTGGAGTCATCGCCCATACATTTGCTCAAAAACATAGGTATACACATTTCCATATCGACACGAAGCGTTTCTCATAATCGGTGGCGCTGTACACGAGTACGGCACTTGTGCATAATTTTTGCGGTTGTTAATAATGCAGTTGGACGAAATGAAACACGAAACAAGTTAGCAAAGTGAAATCGATGGTTCTTTTTACTCGATGGAATTTTTTTGTTGCATATACGTACACTTAAAATTTATCATCACCATTATTTTGTAAATAATTAAAGTAACTTGATGTGACGGAAAGGAAAAAAAAACAATTCAGGCCTCACGAGCACGAAATAAAGTTTCAGCTTGCAAATGAAGCGGCCCCATCATGCGACGTTTACAAACTCGACTTTAGATGTCCATTCATTATCTCATTGTCTTTCCGTATCTAATTAAAACGAGGCACCAAAGTCGCCTCCACGATACGACTCAAAGCTTATGCTGTAAAAATTGATACGCCGAGCGTGACCCAATAAAATGCGACGGGAGAAGAGAGCCACGGGGCATTTTTATCGGCCCGCGTCTTTCCTCGCCCGATGCTTTTATCAAAGTGTCCACACGACGTCGCGTCGATTACTTCGTGCGTGTACATGCGTGTCGTTGAATCTCGCAAAATTTCGTTTTTCAAATAATTTAATTTAGAATTGCAATCATTTGTGGAAAGATTTATTTTCTTTCGACTGTGCTCTACCGCGTAGTCGTATGAGGTGTGTAGTTTTTTTTTAATTACTCCAAATCGAACGTTTTAATTAGCGGATATGAAACATCGGGGACGAATTAAAATTCTAAGTGTCGATCAAACATCGATAAGATCGGTTGTGTACACGCACACACGGACTCTTAGCAAACTTTCGATAACGCCATCAGCGATAGTGTGTATTCTTCTCGTCCCTCCGAAACAAAAATACCGTAAAAGAAACCGATCCCACGTCACATACGTCATCTCACACGTGCCTCGATCCTTAGACCGGAAGAGTCGCAGGAAATGACACTCGATCGACGCCGATAGACACACATTTGTATATACACTCTCGTATACGCATATCATCACGATCGTCAACACGTTGCACAAATACAAACAAACAAAGTTCAAAAGTTCGACCTTAATCGCACTGTACATTGGTATACCACCATAACGTACCTCGAGCTTTTCACAACAGTGCTTATCGTGCGACCCGACGAGTGTTTTGTTACATTAAAACTTCATAATTTTCACTTTATTTGGGCAAAACGCGAGTTTTGCGCTATACTTTCGCGTCATCCAGTCTCGCGATTGAACCTTCGACGATTGCATTACATGTTTTCCACGCGGTAATTTGCACATCGTACAACAACGAGTGCTCCTATCTTGTACGTGGATCGTCACAACGAAAACAATTTACCGAAATAAGTGCACACAAGCGACAACGCGCGTTTTTTTAAACAATAAAAGGCAGCTGCAACATACGCACTTGTTGAACTCCAACAGCGCGCAAAAAAAGTAAAAAAGAAAAAGCAAGTGGATAAGGGCGTTTAAAAATTACAGACTCGTCGGCGAGCTGACATGGTATGGTCGCGAGCTCGCGTGCTTTGCCGGCAAAGTTCCGCGCGCGACTAGCGCGTCGAGTCGAGAAAAGCTCCGGTTGTAGCATAATTGACGCTTCGGAGCATGCGCTTACCGATGAACCGAGAGCGCCGATGGGTTTGTTATTGCTGAGTGCGGGCCTCGGATGATTTTGCATGAACTGTATATTGACATCGTTTTTGGCGTGGTTTTACGAGGGGGAATACTTTCCAGAGCAAAGGTCGTTCGGTTGGACTGAAGCTGGCTATCAGAGGTTTTCACTGTCGTTTGATCTTTGTAATGGCTCGGTGGGCTAGTTTTGGTGGATTCGAGTAGTTTTTAGGACAATAACTGAGCATTTGGGTTTTATCGTTATTACTGGTGTGTTTTGAAATTAGAAGCAGAATTTGTAGAGTTTGTTGTCATTACATCCTCTCAAATTGATATTTTTCTTTGTTTTTCATTAGTTTATTTTTATGTTTTGTTGAATTTTGAATCAAAAAAATTTTTTTTTGTTTTTTGGAACACAAATTTTGCAAAATATAGATTTATCAAAGATTTACACACTTTTGAATCCACTATTCTGTCGTATAACATCAAATTTTTACTGTATGTATTTTTTATTTTTATTTTTTTATTGGCGACTCCTGATGGTAGTTGTAACTAAAGCAAAAAGTGTAAGAACTATTGACAAAAGGTTTGTGCTAAAGGTACATATTGGCATTTAATATTTTGTTTTTTCTCGTACGAGTAACAAATCAATTTTCTTACTGATTTCAATTTATTTTTGTTCATTTAAAGTGTTTACTTGACTTCTGAGAAAAAGTGAATAAGATGATTAGATTTTTTTTTTCTTTGCAGCTCAATGTAAAAATGCTGTAAATATTTTTAATTTGAATAAAAGCTAAAGCAGCGTTGATTACACACGTAATATAAAATACTTGGACCAGCCTCATTTTCTTTTGAAATTAGTTTACTCACTAAATAATCATATTATGTTTGGTTACACTTGTAAGGTGCTTCTGTGTAATATTCATTGACCAAAATTTTTCAAAGTATTGTTCGTATATAATAAGTCTTAGGAATAATAAAATTCTATCCGTTTAAAGTAACTTTAAAAAGTTGCATCACGTTTTTCAAATTTGTATTAAATATGTTTATTGTCGAAACTTAATAAATAACGTCAGTAATTGGTAAATATTAAGGATTTGCATAAATAGATAAGACTCTTTTAAATGTAATAATTGAGGTGATAAAAGCTTACGTTATTCAACTATTTTTAGGGTATGACACTGTCGGTAGGAATAAAAAGAGAACACGGTATTTTTTATCAATAACAAAACTTATCAAACGCAAACAGATAAAACGTAGAGTTAATAAAAGAAAAATTTCCCCTTTTATCGCTACAACTTTCAACAGAGCTAACAATATCTCATGATTGAAGATACTTTTGTTCAGCTCTTGAAAAAAAAAAAAAAAAAGCGTTTGATTTAAACAGAAGTCATCATCGCATATCCGCAACACAACCAAAACAATCGTAACTCACAAACCCGCGCGCCCCAGCCAACGTCAATGATTACGTACTATCGGACGAGTGTTTAATTTTCTCAGGCATACATTAAAAGCGAGTACCTAAAAATCCCGTGCAAACATTTATCTCCGCTCCCCTTCAAAGTAAGAAAATAAATAGAGAACGACTCCACAACGAGTCATCGAACGCTTCTACGATGCAAAGAAAAAAAGTGTGTGTGTTCACTCACCTCGAGCCTCTCGGTAGCCTTGAGCAGCCTCTCGTAGTCAACGTTGCCCTGCACGCTGAGCAGCTCCATCATGTAATCGGCCTCTTGGACGGACTGTTGCACCACCTCGACCTGCCTCTCGAACCTGCGCCAAAGCGCCAGTCTACCCCTGAGCAAAGCCATCAGCTTGGCGCACCTGGCCTCCAGCTGTTCGTGCTTGTCCTGCAGATCTGATATGTCCCTCTCGACGCCCACGGGTGACACGGATATCCTCATGCTGGTCGGCAGCCTGTGTAGCATCTGCCTCAGGCTCATGATCTCCTGCCAGATCTGGCCCAGCTCTTCGCTGGTCGCCTGGCAGCGCTCGACTGCCGTGGCAACGACGTCGCTGCTCTGGCGCTCGCTGTTCTCGCACTGGTCCAGCACGAGGGCCTGGCGCTGGTGAGCCTTACGGATGCGCTGGATGCCCCGTTTGAGATCGTGCAGTCGGTCGCGCAGGAGCTGGGCTGCGTCGAGCTCCTCGCTCAAAAGGCCCTCGAGGTGTCGGGCGACCGAGAGCAGTACGCCAACGCGCTCGCTCTCGGCTGCCGGGAGCAGTCCCAGTCTTCCCAGCTGGTCCTTGAACGTAAATGTCGTGTGTTGGTATCTTCTCGTTTGTATCGTGTTGGTTTTCAATTGCAGAGCACTCACCTGTATCACGCAGACGCGTTCGAATAGCACCGAGAGTCTCTCGATGTAGAGCTCGAGCTCCTCCGACGTCTTGATCACACCGTGGAACCCGTCTATCGTTATTCGGAGCTCGCTCAGTTCTCTCTCGAGCATGACCAACTTCTCGTTAACCGGCACGTCCTCCGAGGACATGCTGCTTCGCAGGACGTCCTGGATCACCTTGATCTTGTCGGACACGTTGTTCCAGCGGCTTTGCATTTCACCGAGGTATTGGCGTTGGAGCATCTCATCCGACAGCGGCACGTTGAGAAGGGCTTGCTCGAAACAGGAGGTCGCTTCGTTCCGGATGTTGTTGTGCACTTCATACTGGGCTCTCAGTTCCTACGTCAAAATCAAATTAATTTTCAAGTCGTTTGTCATTGGTGATCGTTTTGGCTCGAGCAGGAAGACTTACCCAAAATTGTCTCATGTGTCCACCGGCAGGATCGTCGATCGTGGCGAGTTCTCGTTCTGCTCTTGACATCCAGTTTTCTAGTCTATTGACGAGTATCTCTTGATTACTCCAGTTCTCGCGGAAAGCCAGTAAACGTTTCAGCGAGTGATCAACGTTCTCCTGGAGTTTGAGAACGACGTCAAACGCCTCTCCGTAACGATCGTCTGGATCCTCGATATTTATTAACTCTTGAAGGTTGCGAGCTGATTCCAGCAGTTGTAAAAGTCGGCCACGATGGTTAGCCAAGTCCAATGATAGGTTCTGAAATGATAAACCATGTATAAGTTTCAAGATTGTAAGACATAAAATTTTAGGTAGGTTTTATTATGTCACGTAAAATTACCTGATAGAGTAAGATGTACTGGTCGTACTCGCTCGAGGTCACGTTTTGCAAGTCAGGTATACGTTGTTGAGCGACTTGAAGCCATCTCGCTTCGTCCTTGATTCCTTGCTCCAAGACGACCCACCTTGAAGCAGCAAGAGACATCTCTTGCGCTTTTGTGGCTGCTTCGTCCAGCAGACAAACAGCTTTTCCGTGTAACTCTTTGTGAAGAACCGAGTACTTAGCTTTCGATTCAGGATCCAAATTGTCTTCCAGGGACTCAAGAATAGCTCTGCAATGGTTCAAGTTGACGAAAAATTTCCTGTGTCTTTGCATTTCTTCCTGCAGGTGATTTAAACTCGTCACGGAAATGGGACTGTCCAACAAATTCTGGGCAACTCTTGTAATTTCAGAAAACTCGTTTAGAGTTTGTTGATATTCATCCGAAAGTTCTAAAAATTCTAAGAGTTTTTCTCTCTGAATGCCTACTGTATGCTCGATGTAATAGACTGATTCTTGAACTGCTTTCAATCCTTGGGGAAGTTTCTTGCCAGGATAATCTCGTAACAGTCCTTGAGCTTTATCAGTTAATTCATAAATTTTCTTAATGTTATCAGAATTCGTGTTTTCTATTGTATCTAAATGATCTAATTTCGATGCGATGGAATCGTCATTTTTTATCAAGGAATCCAACTCATTCTTTTGCTCTTCAATATTCCTAAGAAATATAAACAAAATTTAGTTACACAACAATAGAATTGTTTAAAATTTTAGTGATTCTAGTATAAAAATATTTAAGCAGTACTTATTACGTTCAATTAATTATACCAAAAGATAATGCAGGACTTACTTTTCTAACTCATGGATTGCATTCACGAAATCATTCCATTTCTCTATTTCTGAAGTTAAATGAATTTCTTCATCATTGGCTACAGCTTCGATTGACTTGACTTGACTTCCCAATGCATCAACACATTGTCTAATTTTTTCGCGTTCGTCTTGAGAACAGTCATTTTCTACGTCACCCCAGATGTCTTCGAGTTCTTTAATCTTTTCTTCAACATAGCTCATTTCTTCTTTAAGTACCTTCAAATTTTGCTTGTCATCTTGAGAGGGTCCATTTAGATATTCTTTTTGCAAATATATTCTCAATTCAATTTTTTCTAGCCAACTTGATAAAATTTCTACCACAGTAATAACAGTTTCTTCAACGACAACGATGTTTTGTTGCTCTATGGCTCTTTTTAATGTAACAAAATCCTTATGAATTTCAGATACCTTATCTTCAAAAGATTTTTCAGATATTTCTGAATCATCTAATGTTAGGGTTGGTAGAATATTTAACAGATGAGAAGGTTGTTTGGACTCGCGTAAATTTTTTATTTTTTCTAGTTTTGATTTTGTGGATTCAGTTCTCTTAAGAATATTGATTTGTGGCATTTTTTGGATACCATTACTTTGTGCACCTTCGGAACTTTGAGCTTCTGCAGTTAAGAAATCCATCGTAAGCTGATGTTTTGATGTGTCTAGTTCTTCATATTGGGGTGTCATTGTAACAGCGGTTTTTCCATCAAGTTCTTCCGGTAATATTTGTTTATCTATTATTTCAAAAACGTTAGGTAGAGATTTTTTGTCAATTTCTACAGGCTTTATTTGTGTATCAATAACAAGTTGAGTACCTTGTTCTGATTCTATAGGCGTTACTTCAGTTACAATCTTTTTTTCATCATCTAAATTAGAGGATCCAGATAGTGAATCATCATCTATGGTTATGGGGGATTGTTCAAATGTCGAATCTAATTCAGACTTATGTTCAGTGTAACTGGGATCACGGATTTCAACAGTTTTATTTCTTTCCCTTTTTTTATTTTGGTGTTTAACTTTTGTGGCCTCTTCTTCACTTAGTTCTTCAGTTATTGTTACATCTTGACTTGTTGAGTCTGGTGTAGAGCTACCACATACTTCAACTGTAGCTTGAATTTCGATTTCGAATGATGGTTCAGATGTAGATGTTACCTCAGGTGAAGATATTGTAATTTCTGGTTGCTTGGTTGTCGTAGCTGAAGTATAAGGTACATCTTTCGGTTTAGGTTGTCTTTCTGGATGTAAAAACATTTCAATTTGTTTGGCCTGACTAGAATTTTCAAGTTCTTTAGCAGCTTCCGTATGTTTATCAAATTTATCAACATCGTCTTTACTTATAGTGCATAAAATATTTGAATTTTCTTGTGATTCAACTGATTCTGAGATATTACATTCAATTTCTATCGTAGAAGTTTCATTATTAGCATGTATTTCCTCGGTTGTAGGACTTTCTGTGACTGGTTGTAGTTCTTGAACTGGTCTGATGGTTTCATTCAACGTTTCTTGCTGTTCAGATTGTTCTGGAGCTGGAAGTTCTAAAGAAGTTTCTTCTTTTTTAGTGATTACTGGTTTTCCTCCAATCAATGGTAAATCACCTGATGAAACTTGTGATTCATTTTTTATGAATTCTTCAATGTTTGGCTCTTTTTCTAAAGTGTATACCGTTGTTTGGGAACTAATGTCGGATGTAACTGGAACAGATTGTATACTTTCTTCAATAGTTGGAACTATTTCACTTGGTTTTGTTTGAACGGACAACTCTGAAGTGCTTATAAATTCAGGTGTACTAGTTTGTGTTCCTTCTTCACGAATAACTTGTGCTTCTTCGACACTTAATGGTTTGTTTTGATCTAATTCTGGACTTTCAGTATGACTTGTTTGAGTAGGAATATCCACTTGTTCTTCACGGGTTGTTTGCATTTCAATTTCTTGAGTTTCCAAAGTTGAAGGCCGTGTTTCTACCATGGTTTGCGTTTCAGTAGTGCACAATGATAAATTTTGGTCAAGATTTTTTTGTACGCTGGCATTTTTATGTTCAATAATATCTGGCGATGTTGATGTACTAACAAGTGTAATATTTTCATGAAGTGCTTCAGATGTCTGTGTTTGTTTCGCTATTTCTTCTAATACTTTAGCATAAGCAGGTGGAGGAGTGGTTTGTTGTCCAACATTTGTTAGGAATTCTGTAGTGGTTTGAACTTCAGTTTCTTCTGAAAATATTAAAAGACAATTTAGTTATTAATTCTTTTTTGATAATCATACCAAGCAGAGAATTCTTTAAACAATCGAGTATATAATCAATATAAATTGCCGTATGAATTATAGTTAATGTAGGTTTTTACATTTTTTTTCTTATATTAATTCAACCTACGATTTTCTTACATTAAGTTAGTATACAATATACATGATAGGTAAATAATTTGTCATTTTTTTGCTTATTAATAATAAGTTTTTTAAATGTTTTTTTTTCATTTTACGGTATACATTTAAGTATGGTAAAGTCCGTCTATTTGACACGTCGTAAAACTGCTCTAGGCACCATTAGGTTAAAATAAAAAAGTTTCTTTAAAAATAAATTCATACTTTAAAAGCCGTAAATAATAGTAGAATTTGTAACGCGTGTTAATGATACTATAAACGATTCTTAGTAGATCTCAATGTATTTAATATAATTTAGATTTTAAACATAAAAATATGTATTTTTCAATGACTATTCTGTGAAGAAATTATTAGTGAAACCATGAAGATTCAGTTTAAAAAAAATATTTATTGTTATAAGATATACTACTAATTTTTTTAAATCATAAAAAAACACCTTTTTTTAGTAAAAATCACACAATTTTCCTAACATTTGTATCTTATGAAAGATATATACAAACATTATTTTAATTTTTATTAATCACAGTTTGTAAAAAAAAATTTCAGACGTAATCTGAAATCAAAGGACTAGAACAAAAAAAGCTTTTTCATACGTTCAAAATGTTTTTCGTTCTTGTTAACCATAAATTATGTCAGTAATATTAGTGAAACATAAAAGCTTACCTCTTAATATTTCTGATTCAGCTGGTGATGTTTGTGTTTCCAGGTTTTCAACCTGAGTAGTGATTGTTTGAGTATCTGCTTCTTGTATGAAAACAGAAGGAATATGAACTGGACTGAATATTTCTTCCTCTCGAGGAGTAGTTTGTTGACCGATATCTTCTGTTGAGGTGTAATCAGGAGTTTTAATTTCTACTGCAACGTCCTTTACATCTGGCTTTAATTCTATATCAGTTTGTAAAGCAGTATCGGTACAAGGTTGTGGAGAAGTTTGAGTTTTAGTATGTTTTTCGTCTTCCTTTATGTCATGTGCTTCTTTTTGAAGTATACCAATTTTTTCCGCTTCTGAAGAAGTTGGGGCGACGCTTTTAAGATCATCTGGCGATGCTTTGCCTACAGAAACATCATGAGTAGCAATTGAAGTTTGGGTGTCTATTTCATGCATTTCAACATCACTTGATTCTTCTAGAGCATCATCACTATCAGCCTTAGCAATGTCTCCCTTTTTACGTTTAAGTTTTTTTGAAGGTTTTTTCGATTCTTTGACTTTTTCACCTTCGAAGCTCTGCATTTCATCCGTAAACTCGATTTCTTCAGGCCTATCATCGTCATCTTTGGAAATTTCAGCCTTTTGTTTTTTCTTTTTCTTCTTTTTCTTTTTGCTGGCATCACTTTCAACATCTCGTGGAATTTCTTCGACAGTCATTTTATTATCAGCTTCATAACCATTACCTTCATATATTTCGTCTTTTTGACTTGAAACTACGTCTGACAAATCGGCAATTTCATAAATATCAGGCTCGGGTTGTTCTGTAACACGCTTTGATGATTCTGATTGTGTTATTTCAATTTCCATGGATTTATCTATAGTAGTTGTTACAGCAGAGATACTAGAGTCTTCATCAGTTGCTTCTTGTGTTTTTTTCTCTTTGTCTTTTTTCTTTCTTTTACTTTTTCTACCCGTAAGACTTTCTGCATCGCTTATGTCAGAAGACTTTTGAATTTTCTCAATTTTCTCAACGACTTTTGGAGTAGGTGAAACTTTAGATTTCTTATCTGAAGTTTCTATAGATTGTTTGTTGTCTTTTATAACTTCGATGGTTTCTGTATCTGCAGGTAATGTTATATTAACTTTGTCTTCTGATACTCTGGATAAGCCGACCTCAGATTCTTTTATATGAGACTCTACAAAAACTGATGGACCCTTATCTGATTTATCTTGTTGTTGTATTGATAAAAGAATATCAATCTTCTGTACATTATTTGATTCAGTTGGTAATCCTACTTGAGAATCAGTTGAAACTGGCTTAACTACTTCACTTGTTTGTATTTGTTCACGTTCAGTTTGTGGAAGATCTGATTTCTTATCTTCAAATTGTTCCCTTTCTTTCTCTAACATTTTATCTGTTTCCGATTTAATATTCGCATGAATCAGACTCTCTTTAACTTCTTCTACATTGATCTCTTTCTTTTTCTGTGGAATATCAGCGGCATCTGATTGAAAGTGTTTTTCAATGTCTACTGTGCGTCTATCAATGTCAGTGTGCTTTTCTACATCTACTGTGCCAGGTTCTAGTTTAATATCATGAGTTTCAAAAGATGTTCCTACTACTGTATCTTCAAACTTACTAGTGGCTTTTGAAACCGTTGGTACATCCTCAACAGTAGTTGACTCCAAAGAAGATACGTCCTTTGTTGTTGATTCTAGAGATTCTTCAATAGGTGTCTGAAAAATGGCAGACTTTTCAGAATCTATCAATGTTTGATTATCTGTAGGTGATAAACTTTTTGTTGGGGCTGTTACCTCAATTAAAGCATACTCAAGCTCATGTTTTTCTTTAACAATTGGTTGAATTTTTTCTGTTGCAATTTTTACATCATCAATTATTGCAGTTGAAAAATTTGCGGCAGGTGCTTCTATTTCAGACTCTTTTTGAATTGGTATGTAAGTTTCTTCAATCGTATATGTTTTATCAGAATCAAGTGAATCTTGTGGGGATGTAGGACTTTTCTTTGATTTCTTTTTTCTGTCCTTCTTTGACTTCTTTTTGTCCGGCTTTTCTGTTATTTCTTCAGTCTTAGCTTCTACTAATGCCTCTTGAACTGATTCGGCTGCAGGAACTTCTCCGACATCTTCCATTTTGGTAGTCAATGTTTCTGTTTCATCTTCAGGGACTGTAGTAGCTTTTTTGAATATTTCTTTATGTTCACCCTTAATAACATTAATGCTTATGTGTGGTATATTTTGCTCATCTATTTCAACCTCTTCGGGTTCTTCAACGACTTCTTCACTAGTAACTTCTTTACCATCAATAATAGTGACCTTTCTAATGATACGTCGGGTTTTCCTTATAACTTTTCTAGTCACTTGCTGTACCACTGCATGGACAGTAGAGGATTTCGTATGATACTCAGTACCTTCAACTAAAGCATCATCAACATTCACTGGTTTCGGACTTAATTCTGCTAAATCACCTTGAATTATTCTTTGAGAAAATTGCGGAGTACTTTCGTATTCTTGAACATTTAATTCATCACCTGGAGTTCCAGTTACGACTTTACCGCCATAAGATTGTTTAGTAGACATCTCCACCGTGCCATCGGACTTTGCTCTTGTTACCGTCACTTGCTGGCCTCTCATCGTAGCTTCGGAGAATGCTTGAATCACCGGTGGTCCATCACCAACTGCAGTTGACAATTGCGAAACATGCTGTTGTGTTGTCTGTCTACTAGTCATTAACGTTCTACGTAATCTGCGGACAATAATTTTCTTGGTCCCATCACTATCAACGACAACTTCTGTTGTAACGTCGTCAGGCTCGACGAAAACCGTTTCAAACGACTGGGGCGCGGCATGTTGTATATTTAGTTCCGAAGTTATGTTTTCTTGTTTTTGTGCGTCTTGGTATTTCATGTCGACTACTATGTTCTCTGGATTGAAAGCGTGTTCGCCGAGAGCGAGCTCCTGATTGGCTTGAGGCAAAATATTTTTAGTCGCAATCTCAATAACGTCGTGCTTACCGTCAGTGCTTTTGACAACTCTTATGGATTCTTGTACTTGAACAGTTTCTGACGATCCAGCATTAACAGGAGTAATTTCAGTTTCAGAAGTTTGACAAGCCGCTGAAGCAATGACAGGGGCAGTATATGGTTCTAGCTTTGACTCGTCTTTCGTATCCTGAATTAAACTATGACCAGTTTGCAAAGAAACGTCGGCCAATGATGGGGAGGAGCCCTCAAGAGACGAATGGATCGATGATGCTTGATCTGCCGTGCCGTCGGCACTGCGTTGCATTTCGGTCCAAGCCGATGCCTTATTTTCCTCGATCACCTGCTGAAAAAAGATCGTTAAGTCTTAGACGGCACTACGGGTGTAGAAAAGATGCTAGTTTAAAATTAGAAATGAAAATAGATGTTGCACTATAGACATTACATGGTAAGTGAGAGGTTTAAATTTAGAAGCTTCGTCAATCAACTTATAAATTCAAGACCCGTGTTAATTTTTGCATTTACTTGTACCAATTTTATTTGTAAACCAAAAAATTTACGTAAGCAATTTTCATGATTTAGTTTTTAAAAATTTCCAAACCTTGTGAAAGCATTATACAGTATAAAACTAATTTGATAGTTAAATTAAACTTTAGTTATAAAAATAGGTTAGGACTGATCTTATTCAAAAACGAAAGTATTTAAAAAACTTGTCATAAATATTAAAGAATTTTTTTATATTTCAAACTTTATTGAGAAATTTATTTGATTGTGCCTAACTCATTTAAATAAGTATATATATTTTTTTGTCTTCTCATATAACATAATATATACCATCTTTGAAGGTATACATATTAAAGAAGAAATATGATCAAGAAAAAAAAGTTTGAATTAAGAATGATAAAGAAAAGGGAAATGCAATAGAAGAAGTAGTATGGAACTCTTTAATGAGGCAGTATTATTACAATATAATAACAATTAACCACACGTCATTCATATTATACATGATTATAAATTACAGTATCGAAACCATTTATTAATTACATTTAATTCTCTTTCCAGTTTTTAATAATTCAACGTAAAATCTTCAGTTCCTAGTGTAAAGCAACCAAACAAAAGTTGCATAATCAAATTGATCAATGATTGTTTTAACTGCTTGGTAGCAGGTATACACAAATCATTTACTAACAATTGCTAAAACTCACAAAAAATTTATGAAAAGGCACTATTTTAAAGTATACATGTCACGTGAATTACCATTTATTTCGTGCACATTACAAATAAAGTAATTAAAAAGCGTGAGTGAAGGCTATAGAGTAATAATGGCGATCTGGTGATTTGATGGTGTTTGAAGAGAAAGAACAGTTACTTAATAAGGATCCCAACCACCAAAGATTCTATATTTTTACAAATATAGTAAGTACTTCTGTAAGGAAGGAAATATATTTTTTTTAAATCAGCTTTTTCAATGAAAAAACTATGATTTTTTATGATTTCAGTTTGTAGTATAGGAAGACGACGAACATAAGTAAAATAAACATTTCGAAAGTGGGTAGTTAATTTTGATTGAACTAATACGTTGTTATTAAATGTTTCACATCTAATAAAGTATATTTACTTCCTTACTACTATTATAACCCTAAATATTCAAACAAAAGTCAGCATATATACTCATCACATCGATAGCAGCTTGAGTTTCGCAAACCAAGAATTTTTTTTTTTGTTTTTTAATCAATCATAATAACAATATATTGCCTGCCAACGATACAGCCTAGATTAGACCTTTGTATTCATTTGATAAAATAAGCTTTCGGTAGTTTAAAAAAAAGGTACATAATGATTTCACATTCAAGCAAGACCCATCAATACAACATGTTGATTCGTACTGAGAAAATAAGTATCCAAGTTCTGGCATGATTCGTATACCTGTTGCTTTTGTTTTAGAAGATCTTCAATTTCTTGCAGGGAACCTTTCAAAATTTTAGCTAGTTCATTGACTTCGGACATGGATTCTAATTCAGTCAGCCGTTGCACTCGGAACTGTATTTCATCCAACAAAACCTGTTAAAAATTAAAGTTATCGGTAAACAATATACATTTACGATTTAACTTGAACAAGTCAGAGCATCATTGAAAAAACATTTTTTCACTAACAGCAAGAACAAATAATTGTATAAAATAGTTGATAAAATTTTACAGAATTGAATGCTCTATTACAAAGTTACAATGTTTGTAAGACCTGATAGTTAAGAACAGTTTTTTGGTCATTAATCGTTAAAGTGACATGTCTGATCCAGGCTTCGGTTTCTTCAAGGCATTGTTTGTAAGCTTGGATCTCCTTTTTCCTGTTTTCTTGAGCTTCACGAGCCTCTTCGAGGGTAGTCTGACTCTGTTCTGCTTGAGACAGTAATTTAGCAAGACGTCGTCGAATCTCAGTTATAGATACTTGAAGTTGTTTAGTTTCGTGATCTTGGGGCGATCGCGCAATTTCGGTACTGATTCTGTTGGCTTCTTGATTGTAGTATCGTAGATCTGCTAATATGGTCTAAAAAAATTTTTTTAAATGTATTTTTACCACTACAACACGCAGTAATTATAGTCCTCGTAATTAAACTGACGTGAATAATAATATTTAACTAGTTAAGGTAAGTAAAATTGTTTTCTACTTTAGTTTTACGTTAAAATGCAAATGTAAAATTTACCGAAAGAGAGCTAATCATAGACTGCAAACTATCGCGTGGCACAGTTTTGAGAGCTCCTTCAAGTTGGGCAAGCGCTACTTGAAGATCATCGATGCTGTGTTTCATTTTTTCCTAGAATGAGACCATATATTTAGCACTCGATTCGTTATTTTACATGAATCTTTGCGTGCAGTTAATTCAGCCAAATTTATCGTAGGTAATCAGAATTATGCAAAATCATAAGAAAATTTTGTCGTAACAATAATCATTTTTAAAAAAATGCAATGCTATCACACTCTGAAAAAAAAACGTATCAATGGGTTAGGATTTGTTTTTTTTGTTCATAAATTCAAGTTTTAAAAGTTTGTAAATAAATATTTTGAAATTTCATTACATTGAAATTCAGAAAATTGCTTATTAAAAAGCATTTCAAACTCAAATTCATGAAACAAAAGTTTTACGGAAATGATTATTATTATTAAAAATACATGACTAATAATGAAAGTCTGCAATTCATTAATTTGTATGTGGCTGCAGAAGGTACCTGAAAATTAATATTTGTTAAAGAGTTTGGATAAGTGTTAATAATGAATAGGAGGGAATGATATCTATAAGATAAACTTTATGGAGTTCACAGATGTTGAATAAAGTCAAAAATTATTTTCATAACTTGGAAGTGAGCGTGCGTGCAAAAAATCAAATATCACTTCGAACGGTGTTTTCATTTTTTACGTCACCATTCAAGTAAAGCAGTTTAATATATTTAAGCAACAAAAAACACATTTTAGAAATCTTTTCATTGTAATTTTTTAGTTGTCTCAAAAACTTAATGGCTATAGTAGTAAGAAAATTATTAAAGAGGATGTCAACGTTTTTAATTAATAATTATCACGTTCAATTATATTTTTCTTTGGGAAGCTTTTGATTACATCAGTTAATGTATTAATTAGTAGTATGACTATAATTTTTAAAAACAAAAATTATTCAATCTGTCAAACCGTTGTATAAAAATAACAGTGACATCGGCTTAAAACAATTGTCACAAAAAAAGATTAGAAAAAAACAATGAAACAAATTTTTTTTTTCAATTTATAAAATGAAGAAGTACGATAAAAGCTAAAAGTCAAATTTGTTTAAATATAGTGAATTAAGTCACTAGTGTGCATCTTCTCCAGGACAATAACTAAGCCCAAAGATGCTTGCAAAGCAACGCCCTAGGGAATTTGCGATCGTCTTTGTATACCAGTGGAGAACGCTATTTTTTCTACTTATGGTTTAGCAAACGTCGAAGGTTTAAAAAAACCCAAAGTAGAAAAAATACTTGAACTTACTACCAAAAAAAAAAAACTGTTAAAAAAATAAAAGCAAATAAAATCAACATTGCTATTAAAAAAAATTTTATCGTACTTTGAATTTTTATTTTAATCATAAAAATTATCAAACATAAACGCGTTATTTGTTGGATGTGACACAAAGAAGCATGACAAACACACACTATCAATTTGGTTGCCAAGTCAATGACTCGCACCTGAGCTGTTAAAATGTTATTTTCTTGGTTCTTCTGAGCCAGGTTATGAATCTTCGTTTCCTCTATGATATTCGGCATCTCAACGGGACTGCTCGACTCTATACCTAAATAAATGTCAGGAACGGAATGGGATTGTGGCTGACGTGAATAAGAATTAGGATCAGGACTGGAAGCCTTTGGTACGTTAATACAATCCAAAGGTACTTCCTGTTCGTCATCACTGTCTACGATTTTTTCAATAGATAGATACGTGCTATCATCGCTCCAGCTACCAATCCCCCCAGGTAAATCTGCGACTAAACGTTCAGTTTGGGGACTACCGTTATTTGAATTCGAGGAATATGAAGAGTTGTTTGGTTTTCCACCCTTTCCTGAACTACCATTATTATCGGGGTCATCCTTCGGATCTTTGTTAGAAGATTCAGAAATAGTGTCATGAGATTTTTTTTTAAGATTCGAAGCAAGGTTTTCATAAAATCGACATTCCGCATCTTGATATGCATGTTTATCCGACCAAAAACCAGCATCTTCAGACAAAAATGAAATCCAATTATGAGGAGGGTCAAGTTTCTGCTGCTGAGAGATTAATTTTGCCTCAATTTCTAAAATATTTGTATTAGGTTTGTGATGGGATACAGTCACTATTTCACCGTCAATGTAAAAAGTGACCTTTGGCCTAGAGGCTTTTTCTACATTACTTTCTAAAGTAACTCCTGTTGTTTTTAAGTTATCATGTGATATTACATTGTCAAGTTGTGCGTTTTTACAATCCATAGTATCTATTGTTTGAGTCAACTGATTTGCACTATTGATACTTTCATTTATTATTAATATTTCTGAAAGTGTAAGTGCACTTTGCGGAGTTGAAATGTCGGAAATATTTGAACAAGACTTCGACTTGATACTTGCCATTTCTTTATTATCATCTATTTTAAGTTTTTCTACGTTGTCTGTGCCACAGGACATGGAAATGTTTCCGTTTTCTTCTTTTAGCGATTCAACTTCAACTTTCAAATGTTTATCTTCTGTTTTTTCTTCGATTTCAACTTGATCTGCTTGACTTCTTTGTCCTTTATTTTTTTTGTTTTTCTTGGATTGTTTTTTAGAATTTGTAATGCTTGTGGAACCTTTTTCTGATACTGGAGATTTTGTGTTTTCTTTTGATACTGACTCTGGATCAATTTTTGATTCAGTACTAGATTGCTTTGGATATGACTCAACATTCATCAAAGATTCATTTATTTTACTTTCTTGTACATCTTTATGAGTTAGAATTTTTAATGACCCTTTTTGATCGCTATTCTTGTTTTTATCTTTTTTGCAAAGAATGTCAGAACTTGTCGATTCAATGATTTGACACTTGTGATCACTAAATTCTGTTGGATCAGCATTAGTAACGTCTTGAATAATCTTTGATACGTCGACTAATTCTTGTTCAAGCACAGCTTCTTCTGATTTTTCTACTGAAATACATTTTAACACTTCTTTCTTGGTATCATCTAATGGTTTCTTTTTGATTTGGACATGTTTATCCTTGTGATCTGTTAATTTGCTCTCGAGAATATCTGTAGATGTTTTCGAATCATTTTTATCTTCATCAGAAGTAGGTTTTTCTTGAATGTCTTCGATGATATCTTTATAAGGTATATTAGTTTTGATTATAGGAGCATTATCTTCATTTTTATTGGTTTTTGGAGTAGAATTTTTATCGTATTTTGATTTCTTACTCTTCTGAATTTCTTGTTTATTTTTTTGTTTGGATTTTTCAAAATTAAATTTACTAGTATCTTGCGTCAAAAATGGCTGTCTTGTTAAATCAATTTTGAATTCTTCTTTGTACTGGGTACTGTCAACCAGTAACTTTTCTTTATTTTTTTCCTCTTTAATTGTAACTTGTAAACTTACTTCTTTATTCGTATTGATTCCTTGCGTAACCACAGAATCTTGAGCATCTTTCTGATCTTTACTCTTTTCAAATTCTATGTTAATTTTCGAATCTGTATTTTCTCTAATATCAGAAGCTTTGTTTTTCTCTTCATTTTTAGAGTTTTTAGAAATTGTGTTTTGCTTTTGAGTGTTCTTTTTAGATTTACTTTTTTGCTTTGACGTATCTTTTACGGGAATCGATTTTTGGGTCTCCGCAAGTTGCTCTACAACATTTTCTTGGGGGATATGAGTTTTTGATTTATCGTCATTTTTGTTATCATGAATTTTATCTTTTTTCGTCAACTGCGAAGTTGAAGACTCTTCAGAATCATTTTTTATTTTAGAGTCTTCTGAAATGTTTGTTGCCTCTTCAACATTTTTTTTGGTTGCGTTTATTGTTTCTATTTTGGTATGATCTACTGAAGATATTTTGTTTTGTTTATTCTTTGATTTTTTTTTATTTTTTGAACCTTTAAGAGTATCTGATATATTTAGTGGCTGATTTGTTTTTGTATCAGTTATATTTTTATTCGCGTGCGTTTCTATATCTTTATTTGTTGAGCACGTATCACTTAATTTTTCAGATGTTTCAATTACTTTTTTTTCAGCTTTTTCCTGTTCCTCGATTTGTTTCCCAACAAAAGTTTTTGTTTCAGTTGGAATAATTTTTTGATTTTCTTTCTGTCCAGGGCTTTCAGATTCAGGAAGGTTTAAACATATTTCTGTTTTATTAACTGATCCTTCCAAACTCTGATTATCAATGGGAATAACACTATCAATAGACTCCTCTTTTCCTTCAAGTAAAACATTAGTTAGTGGAATTGTTGGCTGTCCATCAGGTGGTATTGTGCTGGACTGTTTAATAAAAGTAGATGCTGTTGCATTATTTTTTCTTTTCTTAGGAGCTTTTTCAGAAGTTTTTTTAACGACCGAAGTTGGTTGATGGGAATCAGTCTGATTAACTTCTATTTCATCATGTATTACAGGAAGAGCTAGAGTTTTATGTTCTAATACTACATTTTGATTCTTTGCTACGTTGGACATTGGTAAGTCTTTTTTTTCATGTATGGTAGAAATAACAGTTTGCTCGTCATATTTTTTAATACTAATATTTTCTTGTTTTGGTATATTATTTTCATCTTTATCCAATGCATCTTTGCTAACACAAGTATTCTTGGTACTTTCTTTTATATCACATTCAATGGTTGGGGTTTGGAACGTTTGTTGCAGCTGACTTTTAATTTTTTTGCCCTTTGACAGTTTTTTTTTACCGGAACTCTTATTATCTGATTCTACTTTGAATTCTTCTTTTACAGTTTTTGAAGAGGGACTTGATTCTCTAATCTGCGATTGCTTTGATTGATTAATATCGGAAGACCTACTTTCTGACGACCCATCCTGGGTATCATGTTTTACTGTTTCTTCTTTGTTAGGCTTCCCTTTACTTGAATTTGAGTCAATTTTTTCTTCGCTTTTTAAAGTCGTGTCAGATTGTTTTTTTATTTGTTTTTCATATTCATTGCTAGATTTTTTCTTAGTTGAGTCAGACTCTTCTAATAAAGGCTCTTTCGTTTTTCCTTTTTGGGAAAGTGGTAAGACAATTTTGTCTTTTTCTTTTTCATCACTTGAAATGGATGTTTTTTCTTTGACATTATGATGTTTCTCTACAACATCAACTCCACTTTTCTTTATTACTACACTATCTTTTGTCATTTTTTCTTCAACTGGCACTTTTTTGTCACTCTTGGTTTCTTGTTTCGTTTCTTTATTTTGAAAGATGGATTTCGAATTGCCAGACATATCCCCCTTTTTTTCTAGTTCTTCTGTAGCTTCCTGAATACTTCCCCAAAAAGCTTTGTCATCCTTTAAATTCTCCTTTAGTTCTAGTAATTGTTTCATAAATTCTGGGTGCTCAATTTTGTCTCGTTTTGTATCTAGATCTACATCTTTTAAGAAATCTTTGTATTGCTCCCTTTTTCGAGCTTCTGCTCTTTCTCTCGCGTCTTTAAGCCATTGTCTGTTTTGGAAACGAGGTATATTCAAGTTAAGACTCTTAGTCGTTAGTACATAGTCGAGTTCTTCTTCTTCTTCTGGGGTAAGATCGACATTCCAGGGATGATTTTCAACGAAATTTCTGATGAAATCTGCAGTCAATCTTTCTTCACCTTTGAGATAGTTTACTTTTTCATCTCCAGGGATCTTTAGTGGCTGTAAATATTTATTTTCGTACAAATCAAGAGGCTTAAAATCTTTGGAAGGCCCAGCTTCTTCTGCCAAAGATTCATTTAATTTATCTACTGGAACATTAAAACCTGCTTTTAATTTTTCAGTAAATGCGTTAATAATTTCGTCTTCCTTCTTTCTTATTTCATCTGCATCATTACTTGGTGAGTCTGACAAAGTTTCTTTTAAGCTGGAAGTACACGACTCCATTTTTTCGCAATCCTTTTTTTGAATTTCTTCAATTGAATCGTTCTTTACATTTTCATGTATTTCTTGCATAATTTGCTTTTTGACTGATTCGTCCATCAATTGAGTAGATTTTTCATCGGTCACTGAATCTTTATCGGATATCGTTGGGTAAGTAGGAGGTGGAAGTTCTTCTGTACGATTTTTGGTTTTACTTTTGTCTGTGTCATCACTTCTTGTTGTAGTGTTTATTTGGCCAGTTTTTACAAATTCTACTGTTTTTTCAGTCATATGTTTTTTTTTCTTATTTTTCTGTTTCGCAGATTGAGAACTACTTACATTTTCAACGTGCACTACTTGTGGAGCATCATCCTTAGATTTATTAGTGTTAACTACCGGAAATGTATCGGTCACATCTTTGATTTTTTTTGACTTGTTTATGTTGTCAGTCTCTAACTCATCAGACTGTACTTGAGTTGACTTTGTAATGGCAGATTCATGAATTTGAGAGTTTTCATCTGAATCTTTTTCACTTACTTTTTCCATTTTTTTCGCGTTTATTTGTTCCAAATTTTCAGAGTTTTTATCGAGTGATATCTTTTTAATGTCATTATGAACGGAAATCGAAGGTGATTTTTTTGACTCCTGTTCTGTCAAAATTTTTTCAAGAGTATCTTTTTTTTTTACATCATCTTCATCGAAATCATCATCAATAATTATTGGCTCATCCAAGAGATTCATCCATGAATCATCTGATTTTAAATGGATGGTTGACTTCTTTGGTGATTCTTTTATCAAAGAACCTTCAGATGTAATTGATTCTTTTTTTTTGATAGATTCGACAGTTGAATCATCAAATTCCACATTAGTATCGTTGCTTTTCGAAATTTTCATTTTAGACTGTTGAACAACTTTTTCTATATTTACAAGCTGATCACTTCCTGATTGAATCTGAGGTTGTTTTGATTCTTGTATTACTTTTTCAATTTTATAAAAGCAGTGTAGATCACATTCAGCTTGTGCATGGGCATGATAGTCCATTTGATAGGCTCGTAACATTTCGTATTTATGAGGTTTCTTCGATTCTTCCTTACTCTCTGATTTTTCTATTTCTTCAGTTGCCATTACTTCTCTTTTACTTAACTCTTCAATTTCTGTTTTTACTTGTGCCATACTATTAATTTCTTCTTTTTTGGAATCGATAACTGTTCTTACATCGTCAAGTGATTGTTTCTCTTTAAGATCTTGAACATTACTAAATAATGGTTTTTCGTTGGTTTTTAAAATATCGTCAAGCGTTGAACTACTCGAAACCATTTCAGCTGATAGTTTGGATTCTGTTTTATTTGTAAGCAAATTATCTTCCACTGGCAAAAGTGTTTCATTTTCAGGTTCATGTAAAATTTTTATTTTATCGGGCATTGATAACACAGACTTATTAGGATTTAATTGTAAATTTACTTTACTTTTTTTCGCTACAGCTTTTTTTTCTGATACATTATCAGTAAGGGATGTCTTGTTTTCTTTCTTGCTCCTTATTTCTTCTTTGTCGACTAATTCTTCAGAAATCATCATATCAGTTTCTGTTTTTAACTTTACAGTCTGTTCTTTTTTACTCTTTTTATTTTTATTGCCTTTTGCACATTGCTCTCGGTCTGCTAATTTTTCTGCTTCAGTGAATTCTTTAGTATGTTTTACAGATTTTATATTCGATGTTTCTTTCTCTGATTGAAACTGGCATGCGATATCAATTTCTGTATCAATACTACCACAAGATAATTTACATGATATATTTTGCTGTAAGTCGTCATTTTTGGTTTGCGATTTTACATTTCCTAATTGTTTCAATTCATCTCTTGGTTCATCTAAACATTGAGGAGCTTGGCATTTCTGTAAGCTTACAGATTTTTTAGACTTGCTTTCCCCCTTTTTGTTTGATTTATGTATTTGATTTGATTTTGTGTTATTCGCATCGCTAAATAATTCGACATTTGCTTTGATATGTTCATTAGAATCTCGTATAGAAGCATTTACTGCTTCCTCTGAATTAGACTGAATGAGATCATCATATTTATTTATTTTCTTCTCCTTAATTGTTTTTGGTTCATCTTTGAATTCCGCTTTATGACTTTCATCGATATTTTTAATTTTGTTGTCTTTAGATAACGTTTGATCTAATTTGTCAAACTGATTTTTGTTTTCTTCGGACTTCTTAGCTTTTGCAATTTTTTCACTTGTGGAATCTTTATTCAATGGAATTACTACATCTTTTTTTTTCTTTTCTTTCTTAGATACAACGATTTCCGACTCAGTAACTTTATCAGACATAATGGTCGACTTGTTTTTCTTTTTACCATATTTTCCAGCGTTCATTTGAGATACTTCTGCAACGTCTTTATAAATAGTTTCATTTTCTGATTTATCAATTCTTACAGTTTTATTTGTTTTATCTAATTCTTTTTTTTGATTCGCATCCAAATTTTGAATCGGTTTTCGTTCAACATTCTTATTTGATTCTTCTTGTTTTACAGAGGGTTTAAATTTTTGTACTGCTTCCGCATGTTCGTGCTTGTCATTAGACTTGGTAGATTCTTTATTGAGTTTGTCTTTAGAGGTTTTGGATTTACTTTTATCCATACTTTCAATTTCTTTTAAAGCTTTATCAATTTCATCTTCAGATTCAGTTTTTTTCTTTTTTTGTTTTTTTTTCTTGTCAGATACAGTTTGGGGTAAGCTGTCAGAATTAATTTGTTCACTTGCTTCTTTTTTCTCCACTTTTTCATCCTGTGGGCTTGATTTTTCATTTTGTAAGGGTTTTTGAAGTTTGAGAGTAGGTTCCTGGTGTGAAAACTTTTGTTTACCTTGTTTTTTTGATATTATTTTGTCGGTTTCGACTGTTTCATCTTCCCGTTTAACTACATTTTTCTTGATTTTTTTAACAGCTTCTTTTTTCTGAGGTTGCTGATCAAAAGCTGATTGTTTTCGTTTGGAATCTTTTTTTTTTATGGTATCCCAACTTTGTTGTTTGTCTGCCATGATATTTTGGTCGCACAAGCCATCAGGACTTGATTTTTCTGATCTGGTTTGGCTTGAAGAAGATTTGAAAATGCTTGGTGATTCAGATCTTTCTTTCATTTTACTTGATACTGGTATTAACGTAACAGGTGACATTTCACGAGATGGCAAACCTTGTGATAATATTTGAGCGTATGAGAAAGATGGCTCTTGTAATTCTACTTGATCAACGGTAATTGTCTGATCTTTATCGAATGTTTTCAATTGTAAATTATCATCATTTACGGTGTCTTGGTCACGAGTCTGAGGACCACCCATAGGTATTGTTGAGTCTACCATCATTTCTGACGAAACAGAAACTTCAGACGACACTATTTCTGCGGAAAAACTTTCATTCTTTGAAAGGTTTGTCAGAACATTAGATACATTTTGTGCATGTACAACTTTATCATCGGTTGGATAAGTGATTTTATCAATAGGTTGATGTAAACTTGTCGGGTTTTGGTATACATTCTGTGGCAAGTAACTCGGTTGTGCCATTAATTGCTCACCTGCATAATGAACGTCAGTATCGTAATTGATTTGTGCCATTTGTTGTTGATGTGCCTGATGATAAACAAAAGAATCAACTGAATACGGATTTAATTGGGTGTAACTGTACCCTACCAATTCTGGCATGGGATGCATGTAGTTGTAGACGTCATGTTGTTGCAAAGGAATAATTTTTTCGACCTCGGGATTGTAATCTTCTGAAGGCTGGTCTGCCCAGCTGGTTACTATCGTTTCTGAACTTAAAATTGATTGGTTTAAAGGCGCTGTTTCATTACTACCTGCGATAGTATTTTCAGATATTTTATTTTCTGTTATGTCCAATTCAGTTTTTGAACCTTTGTCTACATCCAAATCTTGCGATTCTTGAACTTTCATCGGTAAAACCTCTCTTGGCAATAAACGTGACTCTTTGATTTTCAAGTGGGTCATTTCATCAACTTTTTCATCTTGTTCAACAGACGGTGCTCTAGACGAACGTCCCCTTAAGATATCGGCATAGGTGGTTGATCCTGGAAACCACATTGGACTCGGAGATCGTACGCGTCTTTCTTCGCTCACTAAACCTCTCTGAGGCGTGTCTTCTCTGTGTTCTATGTAATTCTCTTTATTGGTCGGCAAGCTCATTGTTTTAACTATTTCAGCTTCTTCAATGCGTACGCTAGGAATTTCTGATTTTTCGGACGTCTTAGGCAACTGCTTCGATGAAACTTTCTTCGTGGGAGATCTTCCACGTCGGGAAACAACTTCGGATTTTTCGATTATTTTTTGCTTATCTCCTTGATCATTTCCTCTAAGGTTTCGTTGCTCGCTTTTCTTTTGAGAACGTGTATTCTTTTGTTTAGTAGTTTCGTTTTGAATTTTCGTTTTCTGCGCTTGAAATTCGTCTTTATCATCGTTCGTCGGCGTCGAGGGTAGCAATAATGGAGAAGTAGATTCAAGATTCGTTTGATGAAGGATTTGAGCTTGTAGCGGGACCTCCTCTCTAGATGTTTTATGAGGGCTTGCGTGACGAGAGCTCGATCTCGATCGTCCGGCTGTTACAGCAGCGTACGAAGTAACGTTGATCTGCTTGTTGCCAGCATCGTCACTCGGAGGCACATAATTCGGATCGGTGGTGTGAATTTGATCGGTCAGTGTCCGTACGTGCTGTTGCCATTCCTCCAGCTTTGTCTGCAAAGCCTGCTCGCAAAATTTTTAGTGCCAGGAGAACTCATATGATAATTTTGAGCAGGATGGGCATACATGAATTTTTTGTTTCAAGCATCGTAAGCACGTTTTATTTGTACATATGTTAAGTTTTGTACTATTTAACAAAAAAATAATAATCTTTGAAAATTCTAAGATTGTTAGGAACTAAAGTTTCAAAAACGAGATAGATCCTCTTTTGTAAGGCGTAAAAGTCTCAGTGCAAATTCTTCGAGAATCACATGAAAGCTTCAATTCTGTATAATGTGAGGTGTGGAAAACTCGGAAAATTTTATGGTTACGCCGATTAGTGGAAGGAGTGATTAGAGATATTGATAGAAGAAAATTTTTGTTAAACTCTCACAAAATGCTCTTTATTTTTCTCGTTTTCCAAATCTATCGTACATCATCAAAGACAAACGTTGTTCTATAATTATAATGATAATAATTTACACATTTAAACGCATTTAAAAGAAATAGTTAATGTCACTACTGTAATCTCATTTATACACAATATTAAATAATCATAATTTAGTTTGCATTACGTTATAATAAAAAATACACAAAGCACACGATTTGATAATGAAAAGAAAAAAAAAATTATAATAAAATTCAAATCGAATGTACTCGTTTGGTTTAAGGGTTACAACGTCAAAATCATGGCGACGGATTGATAACCAGATGAGGCAGGAATGCAGCGGCATTGCCACTAAAAAGTTTTTTTCGCGTCCTCGACGAAAAAGAGTACAGCCTTTAATAATTATGCTCATTGCAACGCGCACACATACGAGCAATAATATGTGAGTTTGTAAATTGGCCGACGATCAGACGAGACAATCGGAGGCCAACATTGCCCGAGCGTTAAGGTTCTAATGGCTCCGAATCAGGTATTCCACGCTGATGTAACAGTTTCGATCTTTCAGTGCGAGCCTGAATTTTGCCGTGCAAAAGCCTTATGTGATCCCGATAAGCCTAACCATCGTAAACGAGAAAATTGAGCGATTGGAATAGTTTTTTTTTTTTTTCAATCAGATTCATTCATTGCAAAGGATAAGAGTGGAAAAACCCCGCGCCAAAATAAAACAAGGAGCATGACAAAGGCAAAGTAAATAAAAGAGAAAATAGTTCAAATGGAGCAACGAAATGCATAAACAAAAATGATATCAAGACGACGAACAGAACGTTTGGGTTTCATACCGGAGATATTAATATTAAGAGAGTGAGAGGTAAAAAAAGAGAGATACAACGAGGGATAAGGTGGTTGCGGTTGAGGGACGAATGAGAGAGTGGAAAAGAAAGGGAATGCAGCAAACAAAAGTCATAAATGAACGGCTAGTCGACAAACGTAAGATTTTAAAGAGTGAAAAAATTATATTAATTGCATGTTGGGCTATGCCGATGAGGGTTCGCATTGCCGTCTTGAGGCATTGTAGTTATCACGAACTGTCCAGATTTTTCGTGTAGCTTTTTAAAATTTTTTTCATTTAACCCAAGGAATTCGATTCGATTTGGCTGCTTTGAGTTGCTGCAAATGGCTAATTATTTTTGTAAAGCCATTTTCATTGGTATTTGTAATATTCAAAAGACAAATTTGTTTACCTAAAATTTAATATACAAAAGCTAATGTGTAATCTACAACGATACGACTTTACAAAAAATGTGAAGTGAAAAATATAATAACATAATACAAAATTATTTTCATCTCAAGTATACATACAAGTAAAAATTGCCAAAACACAAACAAACAAAATCAAATATCGTCCCTTGTGCCAAAATAAAAATACTACAAAAGTATAACTTAAAAGCTAAGTGCGAAAAGTGAAAACAGTACACAAACCATGATTCAAATAAAGATACCAACCAATACCCAAAAAGCAAATACCACCTGGACGAATCGATAGTAAATTATGCAAATATTATTTCTACTGTCACCAGTGATTTCTAAAGCATTGAAAAACATAGGTGTTTTGTAACTTGGAAGAAAAGCATCGTCCTGTACTCGAAAAAAAAAAAAAAAAAAAAAGTACAGGAGTACAGTACGTGAGATGGCTCTAAGTTATAAATAGCAGTTAAATAAGAATAAAGAATAATAGAAATAAAAATCTCGTGGATAAAGTAAAGTGTACAGAAAAATACACGTTAGCGCAAGCTTTGATCCACCAATCGACGTAAAAATTAACAACTCCAAGTGGGTACGTGTTTAAACTACAACACTACGTACTTTATTTTCTTCCTTTTTACGATAAATCCCAAAAACGGTGGTGGTTTTGAGTTGGTATCGATTTCAATTATTACGTATATGTACAAATCAATTGCTATCCCATGTTCATATGTAGCGCACAGTGCAGGTGCAAGAGAAAAAAAATATGGGGGAGGAAAAGGGGGTTTAAGTAAAGAAATCGACGACCTACCTGCTGTTCTTGTGATGCCTTTTCTCGATCGTTAGGCAGATACGTCGGACTGAGTACTGTCCTCAGTTGTTGTTCAACCTGTACGATTTGTTGACGTAGTTGTTGAATTTCCTGAAAACAATTTAATACATCGCGTCATGTCCTGCCAACGTCCTACTCTCGAAGGACAGAAGAATTCAGTCGCAACCATCGAACGAACGATTGCGATGGTCAAAGCCAACAAAGAGGGGCTGATAACTTGATAGTCATTAAGGACATTCTAAGGATTTTTGCTCATTTCCTACCAAGCTATGTCCTCATTCGATGTATTTCTACTTACTTGAGTAATATAGTCTTGATATGTATGGTTTTAAGGGAACCGATTCGAGGGACAACAATACGATCCACCAATCGGTGTGGCAAGTAGAATTTACCTAAACCTGTGGTTCTTCTCCAAATGTAAAAAAAAAAAAAAAAAACCATTCCAAGAAACTAGATACTTCTCTCGACCTTGACCTGAGTTTAAGATCCTTAACGAGCTTTTGCTCATCAGCTTAAACTTTATAAAAGGCATGAAAAAAAAGTGGTCCAAATTGTAAAGAGGTTCAACTTGCGACCCTATAATCAGACATTTATCAGCCCCTCGGCAAAAACAATCGTCACAACGGGGACATCGACGTGCACCTTCGATGGTTGTCAAGTGAATTCTCCGCATCCTTCAACCAATCCCATCTCTCTCTTGGACCCTAACCTGCTGATACCGATCAAGCTGAGCGAGCGTAGCCTCGAGCGAGCCAACTTGCTCTCGCACGATCTCGTGAAGGCCACCGAGCTCGGCGACGAGCCCGTCCGCGATCTCGACGACGCGGCTGTCACCACCGATTCCCGAGCGGAAGTGAACCTGTAGCTTCTCAACGCTCATCTCGATCTTGGTTCTCTGTATGGCCACGTCGCTGAGCATCTTCTCGCGAATGGCGTGCTGGTCGCGCAGGGGCTTTTTCTTGTTTTGCGGCGAGTCGAGACTTTGCCGGGCCTTTTCCAGCCAAGTTCTTGCGTCTTTGAGCTTGCGCTCGCACTGTTCCCATTCCTCGCTCGTTTCTTGCAGCAGGGCGTTCTGCAAAGGCAACGATGATTCCGTTTCAACGTTTTTTCCAGGGATACATACGCATAATATATGGGTTACTCTTTCACGTGACAACTAACCCGTTCCAAGAGTCGACCCTCGACCTCGACCTTGGCTTCTTCGGCCTCGTTGAGTCTCTGCGGCAAGTCCCCGACGCTCGTCACCTGGCTAATGCTCTCGAGCTCGCGGCCCATGTCGCTTAGGTTTTTGTTCACCTGCTTGCAGCTCTTCACCGCCGTCTGTGGAGTTTACGCGACCGTCAGGCCAGAGTGCTTTGTTATTTTTGTTGATCCCCTCATTACGGTGGCGATTTTTCGAGATGGGTACCAGTGTCTGAACACCTTTTTTCGGAAAGCACTGTTTTTTCGATGAAGGGTAAGGGGTATACAAGTGCTTCGAGTAATTTTTTGACTTGAACTTTGTAGATTAAAAGGTAAAGTAAAAAGATATCCTTGCAAGGAATTTAAGTTCTGTGGGGACCACTTCTGGTAGGTGTGGTCGGTTAAAACGTGGTTTACATTTTTTTTTTTTTTTTCTTGGTTTAGTAAGCGAGCAAAAATCTGAAAAAGTTTATAAAAATGCACTTTTTAATATTATGTATAGAAAATTGTTTTTT